GGCCTTCCCTTCCAGTTAATTCCTGTCCTCTTTCCTTTTTTTCCCCTCTTTATTTGATTTATTTTAATTTTTCCCATCTTGTAGAATCATTTAATTAATTAATTGTTATAAATTTTTTTAGAACTTGTTATCCTTATGTTGTAAGTCGCCTAGAGTGGTCGAAATGACTAGATAGGCGGAGTATAAATACAATAAATAAATAAATAAATAAATAAATAAATAAATAACAGCAATTTGCTTCTGTTGATGATGTTAAACTCACTGGACAGGATTTCAGCCACTATTTATTTATTTATTATTTATTTATTCATTTTATTTATATCCCGCCTATCTGGTCAAGCGAGGACCACTCTAGGTGGCTAACAATCTTAAAATAATACAATAAAAATGTAAATAAACTGTTCTAAATCATAACAACACTACATTACGATGCACAAACACAAAACATAGAACAGTAAGGGGGAAAGAAAGAGGTCATGAGTTATGTGATGGGAAGGCCTGCCGAATTTCTCTTTCTTCTTTCTTATTTCCTTTGTAAACTTGGGATGAAGCAATGTGTCCTCTCAGGCTGACACCATCCACTGAAATGCAATATGGCTTTAAAAAAATAATAAGGACAAAGCTTCTGGAGTTGTTGATATTTTTGAAAATCTATTAAAGCTAATTGAATATAAGATATTTTAAAGAATCTTATATCTATAGATCAGGAATCACTTCTGAAATTTAACTGAGATTGCCCTTTATATTATTAATTAGAAAGAAACATTTCTAATTAATAAAATGCAATAACCTTAATAAGCCATCAAGAATATACAGAATATACAAGCAGTATTAAGAAAGGCAGGAAACACAATTTATTTTTAGAGGAGGTTTTGGAATCAGGGAAGCACTGTTCTGTGTGTATCTATTTGGAGAAAGATGTTGTGACATGGAGATACCATAACATGAACAAATATTGGCTATGATAAAGCCTTTGAGAAAATCCAGCACAAACAGGCTAATCATACTCTCTATAGGATGTGATTGGCTATTCTTCCAGTTTAAAAAATGGGGCATGAAGGGCATGGCAAGTGACTGGAGGACAAATGCAGTCTTCCAATGTGCTACACAAAGTGTTTAATATTTGCGCAGATTGATTGAGGTTACCAGTTGTAGTCATTATAACAGAGTGTAACAATCCTCTGTTTGAAAAAAATTCAAATATGATGAAGCTCAGGTATGATGTTAGTCTCATGTATGAAGAACTCTTGTTCCACCGCTATATTTACAAAATAGCTTAAGGGCCTTTTCATTTCGGACAGACCCAATAACAGACCCTTGTTGGTCTCAGAAGTTACTAATTTCCAAGCTAGTTAAAGGAGATTATTATCAAAAGAAGTATATTACTGCACAATGACCTGTGAAGGTTGCACTCTGAAGAAGGGTGATCAGATTATGACAAATATTATTTCTCTAGAGCGAGACCTTCTAGGCAGCCTCCATGAAATTAATGTATTTCTTAGCATGAATTCAGCCCCCCTTTTTTTAACCAATTAAGTGCAAGAAACACCGTTTTGTGTTTGTGCTATACAAATCAAATTACAGAAAACATATGGCAAGCAGAGCTATGTTTCAGCCAGAACACAGAATTTGGTATTCTAGGTTCATCCTATTGCAAAGATTTCACTTTTCTCAAAACCCTGTGATTGGGAATAGCCAATACTACTGTATTATCCCTTCCTGGAATTCTGTATACAGTACTGTATTTGGTTTGGTATTTACCTTGATGTCTTTTAATGCTCTATTTTCTCTATTGTTTGTTCGAATTACATTCTCTGAATTTGCAAATGAAGAGGAGAGGAAGAAGATAAAGAAAATTAATGCCACAGTGGAAGTATGATTTTACTAAAGACACACATTTTGTTATACAATGGCAGACGGGTAGCCTGCAAGTATTTCCTTAACTCTCGCTCAGCACACTTCTCATCAACCCATAATTTTTTTTATGCACCAGGACCATGACAGAATGTCAACACAAACACTTTGGGGAGTTGATCCACTGAGGCTACAATCTTCATTCAGTCAGTCCGTTTTAATTAAATTGAACATAACTTATGCCTCTGCATTTTCAGAATGGAATTGCTCCCTAGGGAACCTGCCTTCCCTTTTTATATAAAGAGATGACATCTACATGAAAATCCACTCTCCCACATCCTTTCAGGTGAGGGAACCATGTCTGTCTTTCCTCGTGTCTCCTGTTTGTTGGCCAGGAAGGCTGTTCTTGCAGCCAGTGGTCAGAGCGCTTTCTGAATCAATATTTGGAAAGCTACGCCATGAATGCTATTTCACACCTCATTGGACAAAAAGCAGCCATTCTCTTTAAGCCAGTTCTGACCTTGCAGATGATCGAAGGGGCCCTTTAGGACAAAGAGGGGTCACTCAGCCAGATATGACTGGGTGAATGCTCACATTAGTCTCTCTCTTCATCTTCACCCGCACAGCCACCCCCTGCAGTCATCCCCATTGGCAGGCAGTTCTTTACATGTTTATTATGTTTGACACTTATTTACAGCTTCAAACAAGATTCACAGTCATTAGGGGCATTTGAACTGTGTAAATAGCCCATTAAGCCACAAATGCTCCCCACTTTGGGGAATTAGCTTCCATTGTGCTTTTAATTAGCATTGATTAGGTTATCTTTGTAGTATATAAAATGGTTCCTGGGTGGTTCCATTAAAGGCCAAACAACAGCAGCAGAAAGGGGAAAAAAAAGAATTATAGATCAGGAAAAAGCAAGAAACCAAAAAGGATAGTCCTAGTTCTAAATCTTCATAAGAGGACCACAGATATGTTTTCCCTTCCAGAACTCAAAAAAAGTTATAATCTCTGAACTACAAGATCCTAAATCCTCAAGCTAGTATGGCTGTTGGTTCAGGGATATGGAGAAAAAGACATGACTTTGATGAAAGAGAAACAGCACAGAAGATTCATGGTGATGCTTCAACAAGGTCAAGGAGATGCTAACCTAAACTATAGCTAGGCTAGGTCTCTTTACTGTCCCACCACACACTTTTATAAAGGAACCTGGGAAGCTCTAGTTCTTATCATAAGCAGTGATATGTGAATGTGTTTATGTGTTTCAATTGTGACCTCCTTGCCATGTTGCTATAGAACAAGGGTGGATAATGCATGTGGCCCCATTGCCAACTTTTGTGCCCTCCAGGAGGCTTTCAGGAGTCCAGTTTAGCTTTAGATGCTCCGCATGCTGTGTTTGCACATCAGCATGGAATGCTTTGTTTTATTTTTCCCTCCCACTGCCATCCCATCAAAATTGCCTGATGGAGAAAAAGTGACAGTTATGATAGCTGTACTTTGTAGTAGTTTATGGTGGACGGTTCAGTCATTTTTTAAAAAAGTGTTAAATGGTTGGAATCCACCTTTCCTTCAGCCACACTGGACTCCATCAACATGCAGATGCTTTCAAAAGGGAAAAGTCTCATGATCTGAGCCTGGTCTTCCTGTTCCTATATCCTATCGTGGCTATACTTGCCACATAAATAAGATTTAATAGTGCTTTAGGTATGCGCACACCTATACCTGCCTTCTACCTAAGCAGAGGAGGTGCTACCTTGAAATTTGGGAGTGAGACATCCTCCTGCTTGATATATGAATTGACTGTAGGTATTGCTACCTTGAAATTTGGGAGTGAGACATCTTCCTGCTTGATATATAAATTGACTGTAGGTATAAGGAATTGTAAGGTGATCCAACATGTGTCCTGGTTTTTGAACATTCAAGAGACTATGTTTGTGGTATCACACTGTGTTTTTTCTCTTTGCTCTTTTCTGTGCACCCTCTGTGAGTAATGTGCAAGTCCAGGGGCACTTCTATAGTTCTCTTTGCTCTTTTCTGTGCACCCTCTGCAAGTCCAGAGGCACTTCTATAACCACTCACCACACCATCCTGTTTACACCAGGGTGGATCCAATCAGACAAGTGAGTTGTAATTAGGACTGTGGAACCAGCCTGGTACCTATGCTCCTAATACTTGGCAGTGCTTCTAAGGAGTCTAAAGATCCTGAAGGCTAGATTCTTAGAACCAGTACTGACATCTTGAAAGGTAGAATTGCCACCACACCCACAAAAGACTCAGAACTCCAGGTAAAACCACACCCACAAAAGACTCAGAACTCCAGCAAACAAGACAATGGGGTGATATGATAACACTTTTCAAATACATGAAAGGCTGTCATACAGAGGAGGGACAGGATCTATTATCGCTGTCATACAGAGGAGGGACAGGATCTGTTATCGATTATCCCAGAGTGCAGGACATACAACAATGGGCTCAAGTTACAGGAAGCCAGATTTTGATTGAATGTCAGGAAAAGCTTCCTGTTAGAGCAGTAAGACAGTGGAACTAATTACCTTGAGAGGTGGTAAGCGCTTCAACTTAGAGCAGTAAGACAGTGGAACTAATTACAGTACCTTGAGAGGTGGTAAGTGCTTCAATACTAGAAATTTAGATAACCACCTGGCAGATCTCCTTTGATTTGTATTCCTGCATCCAGCAGGGGGGGTTGGACTTCATGGACTTATAAGCCCCTTCCAACTTCACTATTCTATGATTCTGTTATTCAAAATGGTCAAGGACAAGATCTGAAATTAGTACTTCAGACCCTCTGAGTCAAAAGCCCAGAGAGTTCATTGGATACATTTTTTAATTTTATTAAACAGAATTAAAAGGCAGAATGATCCACAAACTTGCAAACAACATTTGGAACAGAAATACAATTAAGAGAAATCTAAGGCAATCAAGAGGACACACCATAAAACAAGAAAGCGAAACTATTCTATCTAGTGCTCAAAGATTAGCACAGAAGTCAGCACAGTTCTGCAGCATGTACAGAGTGCATCCTCATTCACACTATAGCATCTCCTGAGAATTAAGCTGTTAGCAGAGCTACATTAGCAATATACCACACAATTCTTCATTGCAATTTATAATCACCTGACAATCACCTGGTTATAAATCGCTGTTAGTGCCACTGAGAAGCCATCCAAGAGGAACTGTGGCAGTGAACCTGGGTTGCTACCTCTGAGCAGGCAGTGAGCCACCCAGCTGATGAAGGCAACGAAGCCCAGGTGGTGCAACTCTCCATGACTCCTCTTGGTTGTCTGCCTGGATCAGCTGGGAGGTGCAGTGGCAATTTACTCTGACAGGGGGGTTTACAACTGCAAAACTAATTGAAATAAATTGGTTTCACCAACAATATAAAATAAATGACCCTCTGTCGGTGAACTATTTTAGTTTGCTTTTCAACAAAAGATACAGTTCCGCAGTTTAAAGAAAGAAAGAGAAATTTGTGCCTCCATGTATTTCATGGGTTAACCTTAAAATAAACCTTAACTCTAACCCGAATCAAAGCAATTCTTAATGGCAGTTTAACCATATTCTAACCTACTAAAGTAGCTTCTGAACCCTTTTTTATACATTAACTATCCTGTTCTAGATCTTTCCATATGAGGCTTCAAGTTCCCTCAAAAGTTCAAGGAATTCAGCACATTTTCTGCCCTCTTCCCTTCTCTCGCAGTTGAAATAATCTTTGAACTAGTGTAGTCCTGAGAAACAAGCTGGATTAGCCTTGAAGTCCTCTCTCTGATGAGAGAAGCTGCAGGTGTTTCATCCTCCTTGTTACCAGGAAATCACTAACAATTACAAATTTCAGCCAACTTTCCCAGGTACACACAGAAAAGCCTTGATTTTTCAAGATGGATTTATCGTTCTGTGTTCCCCAATTTCTCAGTTTCTTTTTTCATAAATGCTCCTCCTACATTTATAGGATCATGCACTGGATTGGATGGCCACCCAAGAGTTCTGGATAGTCTACCAAGTTTTCACCAAGATAAAGATGCATCGGAAAAAGCAGGACATCATGTCAATTTATATCTAGAGATGCACATTTAGAATTAATGAATATAAACTAAAATAAAACAATCTGATCATAGTTGAGAAGACTACAATCAGTTGTGTGGCCTGTGTGTCAGACTGCCAAGTTAGCCAGCTTCCATTCCTTGAGGTTTCCTGGCTGAAACCAGGACGAGGGAAGGGAACCTTATGATATCAAAGAAGGACAGATATACAATCATCGAAACTCTGACAATTTACTCCAACTCCCTGGAAAAGCAGGAAATCTATGACTAAATCATCCTGGCCATCTATCTAACTTCTGCTAAAAAAAACTTCAGAGAAAGGAAAGAAGTGGCTGAGGCAAGGGGATTCCCCTCAGAAATTCCCCTTTCTAGTCTATAAGCTGTCCATGAAGGCAACTCTACCACTCTCTGAGGCAGTCTGTTCCATATTAAATGGATGTTCTGCAGTGGCAAAAAAATATTGTGGATGTATGGATTTCCTGCAGTGCCTCCAAATATTATGCATACAAAACAACATACATACAAATACCTTCATGCTGAACCAATGAACCATAATGTTGAATGGATGAAGACATGCAAAAATCAAACTTGCTTCTTCCCTAACAGTTTGCTCTGAGAATTGTATTACCACATGGAGAAATAGAAAAACATAATATTCTTCTGAGACTTCAGCTGTCTGTCTGGAGTCCTATCTCTATATCTACTGTGTCTACTGTGCAAATATTAATTAGGACTGGTTTGTTTGTTTGTTTGTTTGCTTGCTTGCTTGCTTGCTTGCCTGCTTGCTTGTTTAAGTGGCTTCTGGAAAATGTTTTACTCTGTTTTGAATTGGTTGCTATTTTTAATGTTTTGAATCTGTTGTAAATTACCCCGGTGGGCAGAAACACAATGAACCGATGCTTTAAAATAAAAGTATGAATAAATCTTGAAGTTGACAATGAGCAACTTCAAAATTGCAGCTTTCCCTTCTTATGGTTCTTTAATGGGAGTCTGACTGGGCAGCTATTTGAACAAAGAATGGCTTCCCCCAAAACCCATCCCTTCCACCCCCCTAAAAAAACCCACACTGTCCTTTGTAAAGTAGGACCAATTGCAAGCCAGTCCCCCCTCCAGCTTGTTGTCTCCACAATTAGGAAATGTAAGGAAGACTTTTAATGGATCAAGGATGACTGTAATTTTTTCTGAAATGTCAACAGGCTGAGATTCTACATACAGATTGTGTTAAGGAAATTGGAGGCTGAAGGCTCTCAATAGAGCAAACCAGCTGTTAAATTAGACTGAGTGAGGCAGGCATTGCACGCAGCAGATTTCAGGTGTCCAAAAAAGAACAGAAATGGGTTAGTTATTAAATTTACTGTTGTTGCAGTCCTACTGCTAGAGATGGGGAGAAGCTCTTGGGGGATTATCAACCTCTTGGATGCTATACCTTCTGGCTTCAGGTACTACATGTCTTTACTTTGGAGTGAGGATGCATTTCCTATTCTACTCAGTTCAGGAAAATGTCTTTGGATGGTCTTATCAACAGGATTCCTGGGCAGGAAGAGAACACTGTTCAGAATCAGAAATGCTGATTAAATATGTTGACATATGTTACACTGCTGATGCAAAACCTAAATACATTTGTATGGGATTAATGTGCACTCGATGAAGTATGCATGTACACTTCCACTGACATCAGAGGCACTATCTCAATTAGACAGCTCCAACATTATGCTGAAGCTACAGCAAAGCAAGTAGCAGTTTCTAAGAGAAAGAGAAAAACCTGTTAACTCCTCTTCACTGTAAGAAAGACGTGTCAAGGTTTGAAGACATGCAAAAGAAAGAAAGAATCAGCTGGAGCAGCAATTATTTCCTCCACTTCCACCCTTTTCTAGAGAGTGATGATAACACTAATGGAGCAGTACAGAAGTGGAACTCCCAGTGTGGTGTAGTGAACAGAGTGATGGACTTTGGACTTTGGAGACCAGGGTTCAAATCCCAGCTGAGCCGTGGAAGCTCACTGGGGGAAGTGCAACTGGTAAAACCACTCCTTAAATATCAAATACAGTATTAGAGTTGCTATAAGTCAGTTCTAACTTGACAGCACAGTAGACATGCACAAAGAAGTGGAAATAATAAAGAAATGATAATTTTTCTATGCTACTCCCTGTGTGTGATTTTTCAAGCATCAAACAGCACTATACAAGTCCTTTCTGGATACCAGAAGCATGTAGTTATAGCCACTTAAAACACCGTTGTGGCAAGATGTTTTGCTTTCCATCTCCTTCCATTCATCCAAATAAAAGTGTGCTGTTTCCAAGGTGGCAATTATGGAATGCAGAGTACAGTACTCCAAAGTGGACGGATAATGTCCTGTGATGTCTTACAGGTTAAGGCCATAGGATGTTACGCCTATAAATCAAAAAGTACTAACGTACCTAACCGATGGTGGTTTTGTTTCCGTCTTTTGCTTACAGGTGACGGGGGGGGGCTTATAGATGTTTATGGCACAGTGGCATAAATCAGACTACAAAACCTGAGGTTGATGTTCTGTGTAATATAGCCAGTCCCACCAGAGAGTTAATTTCTGTCCAACATCAGAGGAACATGACGTGGCACAAATGAAAGGTGACATTGTTATAGCATTTAAGAGAGATGGGATTAGCTAAATATATCTAGGATGATAGCAAAAAAAATATGGATATGTATCACCAAGAACCTCTGTTGCAGGGATGGCTTCGAATTTTAGTCATTTATTCATTTTTGTTATTCAGATGATTGAATCCAAAATCAAGAAGTTGAGAAACCATCTTTTCTGAATTAGATACATTTTATGGCAAACCTGTTGCGAGTGTTCTTGAAACACACAGTATATCCCTCATACCAGTTTATTCTACCTGCATTGCTGACTTGCTGGAACACATTTTAATTTTGCCTTCCTTTCATTAGAATGAATATAAATTGATTGTTTATGGTTGTATTTACATAAATATTTGTAGTGTGTGAAGGAGTGTTACAGTGGAGGGTGACAGAGTTGCTGTGGGGATTGCGGGGGGTGGAGGGTGGGGTCTGAGTATTTCTTTTTAAAGATTCTGGAAATGACAAGAGACACAGTTGGAGAGTGAGATGAAAAACGCCTATTAAGTCTGTTGCTTTGTTAAACCAAGGAAGTATTCAGTCTCTGAACAATGAAATAGAAAAATCAAAACTCTTACATAGAAGCGATCCTTCAGGCATGAGCTAGGAGAGAATAGTGCCAGCCAGTTATAATTAGTGATATCACATGAAGTGCCCATGACTCCTACACATTCTCATTATATACTGCTAGAGTGATTCTTGCTGAGGTGCAGAATCTCATTTAACAAAAAGAATTTGAAGTTGCAACTTCTGCCTCCGAAAAAGACTGAAGGAAAGCCTGACCGCGAGAAAGATATTGCCGTGCCTTGGAACAGAGGAGTTACAAGTGCAGGCAAAGCCATTGCCCAGAAGACGAATCATCCCTACAAGTCTCTCTATAGCTCAGGCACACCATCCATTATGCAGGCAACTTGGTGCACATCTTTTCTGTTCCAAACCAAACGGAACATGTCTGAAAGAAGCACCACCGTGCCAAAAATGGCAACCATTATTTTGTTATTGCACAGATGCCCTCTGTTCAGGTAAAATTCTCATGGCAGCTTCCAGATCCCACCTGGATAGTATAAAGGCAGACGTGCATCACAAAATTCTTTCGACGTTATTGTTGCTGCTTAGAATGCCAAAGAGGTGCATAATGAAAGCAGAGAGTAAACAGGACACAAATTTCCATAACATTTACATGTAGATATAATGTGCTTGTATACCTGCCAATTTAAGTAGAAACACAATATATTTCGCCGAATGAGGAATTCTGTGATCATGTCATCTGCATGCTGCTTAGACTGTTATCCTGGTGCTAATCATTGATGTGCTGAGGTGATGACATCAGGGCTGTGAGAAGTGAAGACAGCACTGGTGGTGGCAAAGACTTTGGGCAGTGGCACCATTCACATCCCCCCCCCACATACCTCCAAAGAAGAAGTGGTGCAGCAGTTGCCCTACATTTTGTGTTCATACAAAGTCTACTATCTTTTCCAAAAAGCTAACATCTATAAAATTCTTTATGCTATTGTGTTGGTGCCATTCCCAATGAAGGTTTTA